ACACCTTATTACGATAGATTTTACACATTCCAATTACACATTTTGCTGAGTTAAGTATTTGTCATTTGTACACTATTTTTTTTTTTTTTCGGTGTGTGACGTGTATTTTTTACGTCTTTTTATTTTTCTCAATGCCTTGGAGTGTCAGCAAGGGGATTTTTTTTCATTGACCAAATGGTTCGTGAAACTAGCTCAGTGGTAGACATTGACTTAAAGGACCACTCTAGGCACCCAGACCACTTCAGCTTAATGAAGTGGTCTGGGTGCCAGGTCCAGCTAGGGTTAACCCATTGTTTTATAAACATAGCAGTTTCAGAGAAACTGTTTATCAATGGGTTAAGCCATCCCCCAAATCCTCTAGTGACTGTCTCATTGACAGCCGCTAGAGGCGCTTGCGTGCTTCTCACAGTGAAAGCACGCAAGCGTCCATAGGAAAGCATTATGAATGCTTTCCTATGCGCCCGGCTGCGCGCGCAGCTCTTGCAGCGCGTGCGCATTCAGCCAACGGGGCGGATCGGAGGAGGAGAGGCGGCAGAGAGCTCCCCGCCCAGCGCTGGAAAAAGGTAAGTTTTTACCCCTTTCCCCCTTCCAGAGCCGGGCGGGAGTGGGACCCAGAGGGTGGGGGCACCTCAGGGCACTATAGTGGTCCTTTAAAGGTCCACTATAGGCATCCAGTCCACTTCAGCTCAATGAAGTTGTCTGAGTGCCAGATCCCATTAGTTTTAACCCTGCAGCTGAAAACACAGCAGTCTCAGAGAAACTGTTTACATTGCAGGGTTAATCCAACCTCTAGTGGCTGACAGCTCCATTCGGGTGATGTCGGCAGGGGGAGGAGGGGTCACCAGCACCAAGTTCTGGATTAAGGTAAGTGGGAGGGGGGACCTATTAACCCTAAAGTGCCAGGAAAATGGGTTTGTTTTCCAGGCACTATAGGATTCTTTTAAGTCACAGAATACACACAAATAGCTCGAAGTATATGAATAGTGTTGTCAAAGTAACAAACAATGCCTATGCCATGTACTAGAATTGCCAATCACCGCTGCCTCCTCCAAGAAAGTTTATGCCAATGGGTACAGTACAG